CTAAAATAATAAATTTTTCCGGGATTGATGTTATTCATAATAATACACCCAAATTACAGCAGGAATAGTTGAATTAATTACAAAAAAAAAAAAATAGAGAACCGGAATAAAAGTCCTCTAAAAGTTCAAGCCTATTAAAAAGTGTTAATTTCTAATATCAATTTTTGTTTTTTACTGCACTGTTATTCTGAGTTTCAGCTTCTTTTTTCCTTTTCGATAGTAATATTGGAATGTATAAACGAATTTTATTCAATGCGAAAGGAGACTTAATTAATTAGATAGAGACTGATCAAAATTTAATTTATGCATATATGCATATATCATAATTTGTTTAAGTTCATCATAAGCTGGGAAATCATTTAATTAATTGTAACAAAAATTATCGAAATAATGAATTAATCACAAATGATGAACAAATAAAATAGTCCAAAGTTCAATAATTTTAAATAAATTGTAACTCTTTTATATCGCTGGGAGACATGCACATAACAGTTTTTTTCAATGGCATTTTCAAAATGTCACATACGAGTCAGTCAAAATTTAGTAAACAAATCAATTAGAATTGCATTGCTAATAAGTCATTCGCAAATTGTGATTTTAATTCTTTTTCTTAAAAAATTTTTTTTTTTAAAAAAATTGATTAGCTTTATCGATTGTTTGCATTTCCATCATAATAAATAAAACTTAACTTTCGCTCTCTAAAAATCATTAATACTATTAGGATTACAAAAATTTTTTTGATATCGATTACAAAACAGTTTTGTAGCGTGAGAGTATGACGTACGCGTTGCAAAAAGCGAAAGAAATCTGTCGTTATTAGTTTGTGTGAAGCGGCACAGATAAAAGAGCTGTCATTTGGAAAAAAAAAGAAAAAAATTGAACCGATTGTTTGCATTCCATTATAATGATAAACAAAATTAACCTTCGCTTTTTAAAAATCATTAATATTATAATAAATGGAAGAGATTTGATAAGAATCAATAAACATATCACTGATTCTTCTATTGATAATGATGATATAACTTAGCTTGGCCAACAATAATTGGAATATACCTGAGATTATAGTCATTATTCAATAATGTGATATACGTGTGTGGTGAGGTTATTCTGATAATAGGAATGTTATCAATTAGCATATATATTCTTCTCATTTAATTATTTCTCATATTCATTACATTTTTTTCTCTCATCTAAATGATTCCATTCTCAAACTTTCCAAAATCATTAATTTATCAGAAGAGTAATTTCAAATCGCTTAATTCTAACAAATGAAGTTTCCTTTTTTTCTTATGTTTAAATTAATTATTAGACAATGTAATGTGCCAGTTGCTTCAAATTTAAATGACATAAATGTCTTTTGCATATCTCAAAATTTCCAGCTAAATTTTAAATGCATGCATAAATCATGTACAAAGTAGTTCAACTTTTTTAATTTATTTTTTTCGCAAACAAGGAAAATGAGAACATATATAAACACATTAATATATACAATTAAAGCTGCTGTCGTTCTTTTTTTTCATGGATTTCATTCCATTTTTTTTAAAATTCATTTCAATAGTTATAATAATTCGATTCACTGATAAATTTGAATAATCAAATAATAAGCCAAAAAAATTGCACTCTTATATACCATATTTTCATGTATTACTTACATAACATTTCTGTTCCATTCATTCATAGTTCTTTGTTCTATAAAAAAATTCAACATTTTCAAGTTCATTTTAAATAATGACTTCAAAATATAAAATGGAAAAATAACGCTTCTGCAGTTTTTAAATTCTATTAATTTCGATGGAAGAAGCACAGATAAAAGCTTAAAATTTCGAGCAATTTTACGATAATTACTGCATTACACTGTATCAGAAATAATTTAAACTACTTCCCACTCATTTCCTAATGTCTTTTTTTTTTCAAATAATCTGTTGTGACAATTTTTTCCGTGAGCGAAATGATGTTCTTAAACGTGTCAATTCTTCGGAAAATATTTCACCACTTTGTAATGCTGTAACTAACTGATCAAAATCACGGTTACGATTGTCACGTTGTCGAGCTGAAATTGTTAAGAAAAAAATGATTCATCACAAAATTTCGGAAATTTGAAGAATTTCTAATTTAAAAATTTGCCATACAATATAACAAATCAAAAATTCCGAAAAAAATAAAATATTTTCTGAAAGCAATTTATGAAAAAAATTAAATTTTTTAAAATTTGATCAAAAATTTAGAAAATTGTTGAAAGTAATTAAAATATCCTTTAAATTAAGGAAAGCAATTTTTTTCTCAAGTTTTTCTTTTGTTTTATTGTTGAAGAAGGAAAAAGAAAAGTCAAAAATAGTTTACATACATTTCTTAGACAATATCGACCGTGCCACTGTTTGCTTTTTAATTCGTTCTAAATTCTCACGCTCTTCCCAAAGTTGTCGATGGCATTCGGTTAGTGCAGTCAAAAATTTCGAGATTACACCAAAAAAATCATCCGGTGAAGTGGTTTTTGGTTCTTCCGCAAACATTCTTACACACACCCGGAACTGAAATAATCGCACTAATAAGTCAACATAAATAAAAAATAAAATAAAATATTGATGTACTTATAAGGACGAACAATCATTTAGAATGGTTTTTTCATGTTTATTACTGATATTATCATATTATTGATTTTATTAATGATTCCACTGATGTTTAATTTAATTATTATTATAATGTTTAATTTAGGTTAAATTACTCGAGAATAGATATAAAGTGGAAATAAAACTATATTATTGACCGACTTACACAGTGTAATATATTGCATTGTATGTATAAATTTGCATATTCAATAAAGTACTAAAATAAAAACGCTTAAAGTTATACTCACATAACAAGTGCAATCTACAAATTTTACTTTACTAACTTTAAAACTTCACTTACTTTGGTATTCATTTCACTATATTGCTTTTCAACTTGTGCGAATTCATTTTCAGCAGAATTTAGGAAATTCTTAAGCACTGCTACAAAACGGTCCACGTTCCGGTCACATTCGTTATTCCATACGTCCTGTTTGTTCACTGCTTCACTTGAACGTAACGCTTCCGTTGCAATTGAGATTGATTTGCGTAGTGCACACAGTTCCTGCTCGATTTCTTTACGGCTGTAATATCACGCGAGAAATTATTAACAAATATTCAGCCATTATGTGTAATTAGGAAACATTCATGAATGATAACATTAAAAATAAAATTTGAAAAATTTTTGTCAAAAACTATCTTATTGCTACGGGAAATGAATTAGCAAAAGTGTAACCTATGTCTAGCAGCCTGATGAACACTTTCCAGGTCACGTTTTAGACGTAACACATCTGACTTCTTATTTTCCATTTGCTCAACGATATAATGCAACAAATTACGATCGGAACGTAAAGAATTTCGTACTTCTGTGAGTAATCGTAACGAACCTAATGTAAATCCTACAAAATTATACGTATAAGAATTGTTTTCAAAAAATTATGAAATAATATTAAGAAAAAACAAACTCTTATCACTTTTAAATTGAAAAGTATGCATTGAAAATTCAAAAATTTCTAAGCAATATTAAATCATTCAAAAATTTTGGTCGAATCATTGCGGTGATATTTATTACTCAATTTCAAATCTATTCTTAATTACCAATGGATCTTATCCAAAAAAAGATTTTAGCAGAATTTCATGACTAACCGTAAGCATTTCCATTACGTTTTCCACAATTCAAGAAATTCCCCATTGCTAGAACCATACGTAACAATTGCCTTAAACGTTTGCTACCTGTCACAGCTGCTGAAGCATTTGTTACAGCTAAAAAAGGAAAATAATTAAGTTGAAAATCAGAAATTAATTTTTCGAAAAAGAAAACTTTTTTTTGAAAGCATAGTCCAAAACTTATAGCACTTTATCAATAAAATATTAACATCTTTCTTACTTTCAACAATATTGGAAACGTCGTCAACACGTTCTCGATATGTGCTAATAATATGCAAGCAGCGTAATCGTTCTTCATGTCGTGGAACGCTGAAGCAAATATATTAGCACTTCTCTTTTTAAATTTCGAATTTTCCAGTTTTATCAATTGTAGTAATTGTTTACTTAATAAAGTAACGGTTAGCAGAATAAATATTGGAATCCCATTTTTAGTTATTATGCGAACATGCAACCTCAAACTTTATTTGCACTTATTTGAAGAAAAAGAAAAAAGAAAAGTTTACTTGCTAATTTCATAAAAGAATCGATCGGCCACTGATAATACACTGGCAGTTTTGTACTTGTCCACGATTTCGCGCAGTTTTAAAATTTCTTCTTTGGTCGGCAAGAATTTCAACATCTATAATAAAATGTTTAGATTAACCGATTAAATCTATTTGATTCAATTAATTTTAGAGTAAGTTTCATGACTACATGGAAATTATCGTAAAAAATTTAACTTAACCAAATGTCAAAGTGCATATTCTTTTTTAACGGAAAGGAAGAAAGAAAATTGAAAATTAAAGCTGTTGTAACAACTATTATTAATTTTCACATCATATTTTTTTATTAGTAATCGTTGGTTGGCAATTAAGGTTGCAATTAATTGAAATATTAATGATTATCCAATTTTATGAAGCAAAAAAGATAAGACTGCTTTGACAAATATTACCATAATTTGTTTATGTTCGACATTTCATTTAATTAACTTGCAATCAAATGAGAATAATAATTTAAAACAAAATTGGCAAATTTATAATGATAGTTGAACAAAAGGTAAAAAGATGAAACCTAAAATAGTGGAATGACGAAACATTAGTTCATAATTATGAAGATGTGTGTATGTGTATGAATATGAATGTTTTCATAATTATGCACTGTACGATTATTCAATATGAAGTATGAATATTCAGTATTATAGCAAACTGATAAATAAGTTCAAAAGTTTTGATATAATTAACTGAATTGGTCATACTTGTTCGATCATATCACGAGGTAATTCGCCGCATTGATCCATCGATAAAATAGCATTTTTAATTTGTTTATTTGATAATCGAAGTTTCGATAGCATAATCGTGCAATTTTGTGCACGACGTGTTTCAATGATAGAAATGGATGTTTCTGCACGGTACTGTCGACGTAATGTTTCACTTATTGATTCCGTTTCGTCAATCGATATTTTGCTAATTGAAAAATTTTTCATAATATCATCGAGATCTAACTGGAAAGTATCGAAGTTTTTCTCAAATTCAAGGCAATCCATAAAAAATGCAAATATTTGTCTGCTTCACATAACAACAGTTCACTTGCAAATAATTAAATTATTTTTACTAAATTAACAAATTGATTGATATGAAATTAATTCTGTAAGCTTTACATAATTATACGTGACTATTTTATAATATGAATTATTATCATGAAAAAAACTGGAGCATAATAGTAGGAAAATATTTGGGAATTCTCTGACCTGTTGATACAATTTTTCCTCATCGATATTCTCCCACACAGTTCCAAAGATTTTCTCTTTCGGAATCATTATCCAATTAAGTGTTTTCAACTGCATCGTTGATTTCGGTATCTTTTTCATCTTTTCATTCATATCAATTGTTTCTGTTGCTATTCGACCACCTTGCAAACAAAGTTGCAATAATGATGGTGGCGGTGGTGGTGGAGGTAACAGCGGTGGACATACGGGTGGTACCGATGATGACGAGGGACTCGGTGATTGGCATGGATCAGATGGAAACGTCGAATCTGTCGAATCTCCGCTCGTTCTGAGATTTATACAATAACTTTTTTTACTTTACTTATATAGTTTTTATTGGGATTATTTGTTGGTACATGATTTTATATTTTCTAAAAATAGAAAGAAAATATTTCAATTTTTGTTTCAATGTCAAACTATAAAAGTGACGAAGGCACATATAATATCAAAATGTAAAAAATTAAAGCAACAATTAAATAGGATTAAGAATTACAATTGATCATAATTTCCAATGTTAATTTTAATTAATATTTATTTTTGAAATAATTTCAGCACCTGGAATAAATAGAACGCATGTCGCAGTCAGCAAGACGACTTTGCAATTCAATCACATTCATTCGCTCTCGTCGTAATTCTTCTTCCAATTCGTTATACATTTTTTCAAGATTATCATATTCATTTTGTGTATGTAATCTAAAATTTATTTTACCAATCCATAAAATTTAAATCATTTAAAGCTTTACGCTATTTATTTGTAAACAAAATAAGATGAATCTTTCCTATTTACCTAAAAGGTCAATGTATAAATTCTCTGCTTAGCAAATACTGTAGAAAATATTAATCGTTCACAAATTTGCAATAGCCATAATTTCGTTTTTATGCCTATTCATCGATTTACTCAAAGAGATAATAGAAATTATTTGTTGAATTTCATTTGCTTAATTAGATAGCAGGAAATTATTCTCTGAAAAATTGTATTAAAATACCTGGATAAAACTTTATTCATATCTATATTAACAACGGGTTCTTGTACATCAGGACAAACATCCATTTTCGCTTGTAAAACTAATTGTTGCAGTGCAATATCCAGCAATCTAAAAATTAAATAAAATAATGTTAATTAATCATAAAAATAGCAGTGAGGAAATAAAATGATAATTAATATTTTTGAAAGTCTAGAGAAAATACCGTTTGGCAACAAAATGAAGCATATAATTAAGTTATCAATTTCACATTTTAATTAAATAAAAAGTTGAGTTGACCTCCATATATGGATATGCTTATTATCGGTTGGTACAAGGATAAGATGCTGCAAAATAGAAATGAAATGAGGCATCGCAACGGTATTATTCAATCGTTCAAGCAATATATCAACGATATCTGTTGGATTTTCCACATCAACTGGCGTTGATGTTCCCGAATCACTCCTCAAATTACAATTTCTCTTTCTGGCCACATAGAATTGGAAAGAAGTAAATCGGTATGAATTACTACGTTAATGTTTAACACAATTTCCTATTCCTTTTGTTAATAATAAAAATAATAATATTTTTATTTTTTTTATTACCACTATCATTCATATATTCTAACGCTTTTTTTCTTTTCTGTGCAAAATAATCCTAAATTAAATGGATTAAAAAAATCTGTGTATTAAATCATTTTTACAAATTTTGCAATTAATTGCTAGTAATTCATTAACGATCCATCACAAAACAGCATTTAGTTATTTACTTCCTTATTTTTTTGTTTTTTGTTTTCTTTGCTAATATTTTTTCGCATTTCTATTCATGAATAAAGAAAAATAATATCAATAAGCAAAAATTTTCTAACTATTGATGAGACAATAAAACACAGCATCGTAAATTTGGTTTGTTTCATAGAAAAATATGCATTACATTCATAAAATTTGTAAAATTTTTATTTTTTTATTACCTAAATGCAAATGTATTCAAATACTTATAACATAGAGATTGAAACGAAATAATGAATGACTAAGTCAAAAAATAAATATGAAATAAATATGATAATGATTTTTGGAAATTTAAATAGGAACCAAAAAGGACTAATCACAGAAATATATTATTTAAATAAAACTTAGAATTAATTATTTCACTGCCAGAATAATCTAATTGCTAATTGTTACAATTAAATAATGAAATATTTTTGTGTTACCTGGCAAAATATAACTCATCCTCTTGTCGACTCATTTCAAACAAATCGAAATGGTCGTCTAAAACAGCGGAAGAGGTCGTACGAAGTTGTTCCAAAATATTATGCAAGCCTAACATCAATAGTTCAAACCGTAAATGCATACGAAATTCCACTGAATTCTGTAAAAAATTTTTTTTCTTTTATTACAGTGTTTAAAAAATATAAAATAAATTGTTAGCAAAAATAAAATCTTGCTGAATTCAAAAATAAAAAAAAGTTTTCAACTCTTTTTAAATTATGTTTTTGAAATGTGGCATAAAAATTGCTTAATTTCTTTTTGTAGTACAAACAAGAAAGAAATTTTTGTTATTCAATTGTTATCATAAATCAAAAATGTTCTTTTATGATGATTAACAAACAGTAAAAAAACTTATTAAAAAGGGATTGAACCTTCCAAAAAGTTTTATTTTTTTAGAACAATCTATAAGTAAATTCACATAATTATAGAATAAATGTTTCGTCTGATTTAATTAACTAAACAGATATTTCAGATGCAGCGGTGTTAATTATATTTTAATTATATAAATATTTTGGAATTTATAGCAAATGTCCACATAAATAATTATTTAATGGATACTAATTGTTCGGATAGAAAGTTTCAAGCAATAATTTTGATCGATTGTTCACGATTGATAGAGAGGATGATTAAAGTTTTTTTTGTTTTTTTCCGCCGTGAAGTTTTAACAGCTGACAGCTGTCAGCTGTTTCAATAAAACTTATCAATTTTCAAGATTTTGCAAAAAAAGTGAAAAGATATGAAATATCATTTATGCATAACAATAACTTTTGTTTGCTTCTCTGCCATTTTCGCACTATTTTCAAATGTCACCAATTTTTCTCCTTCCTCTAAGAAAAAGAAAACCTGTCTGCTGATTCTGATTTTTGCTAACCAGTTTAAGTAACGTATTTGAATCCGAAATTTTGATCATCAAACTTAGGTACTATTCAATATGACAAATACTATCATTTAATTAATATACTTCTAATAGATTTGTAAAAAAATGACATTCAAATTTTAGACTTAAAAGTTATTTCCCAGTTACTATGATTTTTTTTGCGTAAAATACTTTTTTCGCTGAAACAATTTTTATTTTGATCTGAAATGCTTCTATTTGATAATATGAATGAATTTGATGATAAAATTTCAGAGATGAATAATAAAAAATATAATTGTTTTCGATTGTTATATGCATATAAAATAATCGTTAAATGAAAATTTTAAAACTAAAAATTGCAACGATTGAAATAATAAATGACAAATTTGAAGGGAATTATTTTTACACAATGTTGCCAGCTTGTGCAAAGCAGAATATAATTTCTATCTTCATTTATCCATGAAAAGAAATGTACAATATATCAATGATATGATAATCACTCTATTGCATCACTATATTTTATTATCCATTTCGTCTTCAGTTAATTGTCTTTTTATTTTTGTTTTTTGAAATTATCAATTATGTGAGGGATAAACCGGCTTTGTACCAGCACAAAACCGGATACATTTTTAAAGATAATCATAGAAAATATAAAACTTATTCATTCTCACATCATTTTCACAACATCTAACACAATGTAAAATATGAAAAAAAGAAAATTGACAGAATATAATAAAAATTGAATGGTTTTCAAAAACATTTTTCTTTTTTTGTCGTTATTTTCTTCATATATAATAAATTTTTATAAATGCTCAATTGAAAAAATAATATTTTCTGTTTGTTTAATAAAATTATCCGAAATTTTTGTTAAAGTTAAAAATATATGTAATCTTTATGATTTTGAAACTGCTATCAAATTTTGATAATATTGAGTGAAATTTGAAATGAAATGAATACTTCGGCAGAACCACTGCTTAGTAATGCGTTAACTAAGCTCATTGCAGCTGTACGTACTCGTTCTGTTTCGCGATCGCTGCCGTAATTTCGATAGATATCATCCACCAATCGTTGAAATCTCGTCCTTTCTCCAAGGATTCCACGTGCCTCCGTTATCGCATGCAGCACTTTTTGATGTCCGTTAGGTATCAAACAAATACCTGCCAATATCTCATAACACAACACCTGTAATGCAAAACAATTGTTAAAGTTTGATTTGAAAACAAATTTGTTATCGTAGTTAAGGTACTGCTGGCTAATATTTCTATGATCATTCAGAATGACAACTTCACTTAGTCTTTTATTTTTATTGCTATGTTAGATATGAAAGCATTAATGAATAATTAAAATGGAATTGAAAAATTAATGCAACATTTCTTAAATTTTTTATTTGGACGGATTTAATTTGAAGGGGATTTCTTATTTAATTTATTTAATCATTTAATGACTTGTTTAATTAATTTTCTAAAAATTTTTGGTAACAAAACGAAATAGAAAGCTAATTGTAGCTTAATTTTATTCATCAAAAGTAAATTACAACTAACAATTTCAATTCACATCATATGTCAATGGAGAAAAGCAAAATCTATTGGAATGAATGAATAAAGTTTTCCAATTTGATTAAATTTTCCATTTACTCGAGACTGTCCAACAATTAATTCGGGATAAAAGCGCGTTGTTGGGGCGAGTGGGTAAAAATCCGTGAAAAATGTCAAATGAGCAGCTTATTTACCATAAATTTTTTTAAAATGACAATTAAATATTTTAAATGACAGTTAATTATGGCAAGTGAGAAATGAGGAAGGTCGAAAAATTAGTGGAATAAATGATAGCAATTATAATACTAAAAAAATAAAAATGGAAAAGTAAATGAGATGACAGCGTTTCGAATATAAGCAAACATTTGGTTTATTTTTTATTTCCAATTTTTTTTTCCTTTGCAAAAAATAATGGAAACATGGGATTTTTTATCGTTTTCAATCATATGGAATTTTAATCGTTTTTGCAATTTTACCACAAGAGAAAGTGAAAGAGAAACAGACAGAAATACTGAGAGAGACAGAGACGAGAGACAGATGATGACAAATTACATTTAATTATAAAATTGTTTGAGTAATGAGAGAATGATGCGAAGAAAAAAGTCAATAATTATGTGATAATCTTCATGTTAATGAACACAAAATCAAATAATAATTGCACATTATAATTAAATTGATTGTTTTATTTATTTGTTTAACAAAAAAATTGTAAATTTTGTCTGTGCCAAAATTTGAAATAAAAAATACGATGAAGATTAAATAACAATAAATTGAACTATATTTAATAATTTATGCAAAAATCAAAAGGAATCTTTGTTAAAGAGAGAAATGTTAATAATTGAATTGCGACCCAATCGTAGGAATAGTAATAATGATACTCTCTCCTAAATGACAATTATCAGTTGCAAAATAGAAGGTCATCATCATGCCGCTCCTCGTATACAATTTTAACATTCTTCTCATAACCGTGATTTGAAATTGTCGAAATTAAAATTTTTGTTTGGTATTCAACCCGTTATTAAAAAAATTTTTTTTACACAGTTATTACTATTCCTACGATAACGAATAACAGGAACAAATACATTTTTTATATATTTATGGGTCCAAAAATTTTAGATTTCCACTTATATATTGTAATATTTAATAATA